ACTCACTTGGTAGCCCAGGCTGGCCTCGAACTCACAGAGATCCGCCTGGCTCTGCCTCCCGAGTGCTGGGATTAAAGGCGTGCGCCACCACCGCCCGGCGCTTTTTTTTTTTTTTTAAGGAACTTGTATCTAGTAAATGGCACATCAATTTGCTGTACATATGCTGAAATGACACAATATTTGCTTATACATTTGGAGTCGCATTTTCAGACAAAGCTGAGGCAAATGGCTTGGGGCCAGGATGCTACCAAACCTGGGTCTGATTCCCATAATGCCCCTGGGAGAACTTCCTAAGCCCATCCACCATATTTGCCTAAACAGCCAGTCCTAGTGATAGCTAACTATTTTTTTTAATCAAGTTGTTGTTAAATTCATATACAACAATTCCTTAATTTTTTTCCCCCACCCCCTAAAACTTTTGTTTGTTTGTTTTTTGAGACAGGATTTCTCTGTGTAGCTTTGCGCCTTTCCTGGAACTCAAGGCTGGCCTCGAACTCACAGAGATCGACCTGGCTCTGCCTCCCTCGTGCTGGGATTAAAGGCGTGCGCCACCACTGCCCGGCCAATTCCTTAATCTTGTTAGCACTCTTCCTGAGTTCCAGTTGAAGCAGCAGAAGCCACAGTGCCACACCATTATTCTCTATCCTTTTTACATGCCCCCCCACACCTATTCTGTCTTTTGTCCCCCCAAAGGCTGAGTAAATTGTTGCTTGCAGATGCCACCACAGCATCCTGTAATGAGATATTAAAACATTTCCTCCTCTCCCTTTCCAAATTATAGTGGGGAGGTGTGAGAGCGGTCCTCTGGACTCGCCAAGGGAAAGATGGATGGTCTAGGTGGTTGCAATGCATCTGGACAGTTCAAGAGGAAACTGTTTTATGGTTAAACTATGATGGCTCCCTCTTTGTCTTTCCTGACTGCTTGGTGATGCTACCTTCCTGGGTATTAGTATTTCTAAGTAGCCTTGCTCTTATACTCACAGTCATTCCAAAACAATAGTTGTCTCTCAGTCCCTGAGGCTCCACATGGTGTTTCTGGACTCCTTGTGGGTACCAAAATGTGCAGATGCTCAAGTTTCCTATATTCAAAATGTCAGAGTACTCACATTAATCTACATGCCTCTTTCTGTATACTTCAAATCACCTCTGGATTTCTGCAATACAAAATAAGCAAAAATATTATGCAAATGCTAAGCAAATAGTTGTTACATTATTGTTCATGGAATTATGACAAGGGGAAAAAGCTCTCCCCCAAATGTTCAGCACAAACATAATTTTTCTTTGAATATTTTCACCATCCTAGCAGTTGAATGAGGGACATGAAGAGCTGACTGTCATAATATACAATCCTTATGCAAACATCTGTGTTAATTAGTGTTATGTGTCTGGGTCATTCGGAGATTTCCCAGTTTGACCATGATTACATTTTAACAAAGGAGAGTCTTGTATTCATATATAGGTCTACACCCAGGACTCCCAAACGCAGCACCCAGTCTCCTCAGTCAGGGGCTTTTAAGTGCAAAGAACACAGTGACAGTCTGTCTACACACAAGCAGAATGTCATCTTGTGCAAAGCAAGCTTTTGCTCACAGAAGCAGAAACAGTAGTTTTGTTAAAGTTGTACAAGACCAGATGATTACAAAAATTAACACTTAGCAGCCTTCAACATTTAAAAGTCTAGTTTTGCTTTATAATTCTCTTAAGCACAGAAATTTTAGCTTTTAAACATAAAGTTAGTCATCAACATAATGTCAGCCATCGCATTCCCCTCCTTGAGTTACACCCTGAGTCAAAACCTTGGCTCTGTGTTGGGTCCCTGTTCTTCTAGCTTAGCAATTCAGTTTTTTCCCTAATATAGGCAGATCTCAGGTCATCTGGAGTCCTAGGTTTCTGAAGTTAATGTCAGCCATTACTATACCAGTGGCACCTAGAGCAGCTCCTGCTGTTCCTCACCACATATGAGGGTGTTGAGAGGAGGATTGTGCAATTTCCCCCTAACATGGAGGGCCTGTGTTCATGCATGCATGTGTTTCCCACTACTGGATGCTCAGAAACATACACCCAGGGGAATGTGGATAACAAGATACAGAATCTGGGTATTGATACACATCTTCCAAACAGGCAAGCAAGGATGCAACCAGTCAGTACATGCAAATCAAACAGTTTCAACTGGGAAGTAAAAGAAGGAATGTCCACCTGACAAAGTGGTGGCTGGGACCTGGGAGACATTTATGGCAAGTTTGAATTTGATCTTAAGAGGAGATCTAAACATGTATCCCATGAAAGAACGGGGGTGCGGGGGGGGGGGGGGCATAGCCAGACAAAACAACACTATTACTCTACAACCCATATTAGCCTTATATTTGGTGGATCGTCACAAGCCCTGGTGATGGTCCATTTTTCTGCAGCCAAGATGTCACCCATGATGCATTGACCTGGAAGTGATGTGTCTGCTGGATATGGATACCATCTACCTTGATAGCAGTGGGAGTAGCCAGGATAACAAGGTGCGATCTTTTCCAGTGTGGTCCCAGTTTCCTTGAGACCTAACATTCTAGCCTTTTGTTAAGGATAAAGAGCAATATACTCTCCTCTGTAACTATTTCTCAGCTGAGATTAGGATGTGGTCAGAGCCTGTGAAGGCTGGAACGCTAGTCAAAAGCAAGGAGGGGATTCAGGCGGTGGAGAGCATTCATCTGAAGCATCTGGTTTTCTTTTTCTTTTTTTTTAATTTTAATTTTTAATTTAATTTTATTTTACAATACCATTCAGTTCTACATATCAGTCATGGGTTCCCCTATTCTCCCCCCTCCCACCCTCTCCCCTTACCCCCAGCCTACCCCCCATTCCCACCTCCTCCAGGGCAAATCCTTCCCCGAGGACTGTGATCAACCTGGTAGACTCAGTCCAGGCAGGTCCAGTCCCTTCCTCCCAGACTGAGCCAAG